CCTAGTGTTCACGCAGTAGCCCTCCGTCTCGGGCAGTCTCCCCATACGCCGTCCCGTTGCACGGCGGGCTCTGTCTCGGGCGCAGCATACACCAAGCACAGCTGGGGCCTCGCTGTCAAGCACCTCCGGGGGCAGTCTTGGCAAACGGATCAAGCGTCAGGTGCAGCATGGATGCAGGATACTGGTTGCCGTTGCCAAGCGTCACCTGCCAGTCGTACCACAGCTTGTCCACAAACGCGTGGTGCAGGAAGAACAGCGGGTCATACGGCGAAGAATACGTCGCCATTGTGCCGCCCACAAACACATGCACGTCGCCGTGGCGCGCCTCAATCTCAGCTACAACCGTCGAGTAGTCTGTGCCCGCGAGAATGCCGGCAATTTCCGCAAACGACGGCATCGCCCAGCCCAGCGCCCAGTTGCGCTCAATGCACGGCGAAAACCCGGTAAAGGGGCCGTCCGTCACACACTGGTCCACGCCGTTGCCATTGCCGCCAACAACGTTCCACACGGGCGACGTCTCCGGCGACAGCGCATCAATCGTCCAGTCCCAGTACGGGATGGTCACGTTGCAGTTGCCGCTCACCTCCCGCAGCGTCAGCTCAAGCTGCTTCAAAAACTCGCGGTGCCACGGCCAGAACGCAGGGTTGCCGTGCGCCTGCGGCACAGCACCAAGGTGCGTGTTGGCAAACGCCGACCACATGTTGCTCTGCTCCAGCAGCACAACGGCGTCCGTGAACGCCTGCACTTCTTCAACCGTCATGTCGCGGATCTCCCGCCGCGTCGTCACAGCGCTGCACTCGCACGACACGCTGCCGTCGGTTGCACAGAAGCACGTCTGGCACCCAAACGTAAACGTCTCTCCAAAGTCGTACCGCTGCCCGCCATACACGCACTGCCGCGGCGCCTCCCACTTGGGGTTGCCGCACCGCCGCTCCTTGCACGTCTTGCCCTGCGCAAACGACACCACCTCAACCTGCCCGTCTCCGGTCTCCAGGGCCTGGCACGCACTGCGCGTCATCTGCTGGCACGAGAACTCTGCGCCCTGGTACGTGCCGTCGTACCCGTATCCGTCCCGGTCGTACCCGGACCGGTCCAGCCCTGCGCGGTCTCGCCCAGTGGCGTCGTACTGCTCGTCGGCCAGGTAGCCAAACTGCTGTCCGTCACGGCTGTACGTCTCAGAGTACCCGTGGATGTTGAATCCGTACCCGTCTCGGCCCCGCGTGTCATATCCACGCTCATCCAGCCCATACGCATCGTAGCTGTTCCGAGCGAACATTGCGTACGTTGCCGGCCGCTGTGAGAAGCCATCCCGTGCATAGCCTGTTCTGTTGTAGCCGTAGCGGTCGTAGCCACTGCGGTCGTAGCCATAGCCATAGCCACCGCCGTTGGTGGGCTCCATGCGCCGGGTGCAGCAGGCGCCAACAGCACAGCGCTGCTCACACGCCTCCCTGCTCTCAAAGTTGTTGCTGTTGCCACCGCATCCACCGTACGTAAACTGCTGGCACTGCTGCGTCTGATGATCAAAGTACCAGCGAGCAACGTCAT